CAGTATTCTATAATGACATCAAGTCTTTCTATCTGTGTATGTATGCGTGCGTGCATGCACACACACACACACACACACACACAGAGTATATGGGTGAGCAAAATTAAATCCTGTGCCAAAGGTCTTGAGATATCTGGCTACACGGAGGTATCATTACTTTGTAAACTTTATGTTCACTTGAACCTTGCTAGAAAGAACCATCATCCTTCATAAAAGCAAGAAAAAATAAATGTGTGACTAGTATGTGACTATGATAGTATGTTGAGAATTAGCTCAGAATAGTATTAGCATAGTTAGGGTTGATGAATTAAACAGACAAATACCTGAACTGTATAGCTCATGTTCTGGCAAAACAAAGTATCTTGTACAATTGTGATTTGTACAGAGAAGCAGTTATGCATAACCCGAGTAGAATTAATGTCTTGAAATCAAACAGATACATGATCTACCTCTTAAGTAATAAGAGTAATAAGTGCAAGATGATTCTAGAAGTTGGAAAAGACTTGTGCTATTTCAAGTACTGTAGACTCTTGAAAAGTTTCCATATTTCTCCAGCATTCAGTAGCGTATCAAGGAATACTTTGTAATGTTATATTTTGCACTTTTAACTTTTTGTTTTTTATGATATAGGAAAGCTAACTCCAATTCCAAAAGAGACTTTACTGTAACCCAACCCTAGCATTCTATACATGGGAAATTGTCCTTTCTAAATTAGCATATCCAAAATTTAATGTTGTAATATGTGTGTTGTGAAAAAAATGATTGCACTACTTGGAAAGTTTGGGACACCCTTCGTCCTGGGGCCAAGCTGGCTCCTGCCCTCCTGGCCTTCCCAAAAGCCTTGAAGACCTGGCTTTTCCCACACACGCATAGTGTGTGCTGAAGCCCAGTGAAGTTGCTTGTAGATGTGAGGGATATGTTGTTTTGGGGGGCACTCGGGTGTTTATGCTGGTTTTATATTTTTATTTTTATCATTATTTGTAAGCTGCCCAAGACTGTGCTTTGTAAGATATAGGGCAGCTATATAAATCTTTTAAATAAACTAAATAGAAAAAGTCTAGGTATAACTAACATTCCTTTTTTTAATATAGCAAGCAGGTTTCCATCCCTATTTTGGCTGCGTTGTGATGGCACTGGCACTTTTTCAGCCTCTCATGGCAGCCTTCAGACCCCCTCCTCAAGCACCAAGGTATTCTGATTTTGTATTCTTAATTGTCCAAAAATTCCTTAATGAGATTGTCAGTAGCTTATCAGAAGATTTAAATGATCGTTCCTCAACCTAGTGTCCTTCAGATGCCAAACTGAAGCTTCTAGAATTGTCAGCCAAGTATTGATGTTGGCCAGTTTGGACTTGCAGGCTGGGAATCATAGGAATTTCATTTAACACATCTGGAAGCACCTGATTCTTTGCTCTCATCTTAGGAAATTAGCCCCTGCAAATCACCAAAGATGTTCTGCAGAGTCCAATTTTTCCAGATCTCCTAATTGTATAAATGCCTAAATGAAAATGCATAATGCATTTGTGCTCGCTCCTTCCTTCCTTCCTTCCTTCCTTCCTTCCTTCCTTCCTTCCTTCCTTCCTTCCTTCCTTCCTTCC